CAGTAAAACCGGGTTAGATGAGTTTTGGATGGGTAATTACGGGTATTGAACAATCACAAATGCACACCTTTTCATCGTGTTCAAAACAAGTAGATGCCTGGAACAATCAAACAAAAACACGCTTAAATCTACACCAAAATCTTTTGGTTCTTAGATGAAAATATGGGAGACAAGAAAGATGTCATCAAACAAGCACAAATAGAAGGAGAGGGATAGTGTTCTTAACACGAGAGTGTGAGATCTTTCTACACAAACTAAGACCAGCAAAAATGCAGATAGAAGAGGACAAAAAGAACAAACACAATATTTTGAAGATTGAGAGAAGTGCAGTAGTCATAATGTTCAAGGATTGAGAGAGATTAGAGAAGGGAAGAGAGAAAATAGGAAAAATGTAGCAAAGGGATGAAGAAGAAAGTAAAGATATGTGCAGCAGTACAGTGCAAGAGTGAATGAAGAGAGATGTGAAGATTGAAGGATAGGGATTTTCTTTCAAATCTTAATGGATTGGGCAGCGTAGGTCACTAGTATTATGAGCATTCTGTCCACAAACTAAACACTTTGGTTGGGTTGGGTACGGTTTCATAAGTCAATTAACAAATCTTAAATCCGAAACTGCCTCACCCTACCCATCCCAAAACGAAAAAATTCACTTAATTTATCAAGACCTGATCTATTCTATCTGTTGCACTGTTTTGAGCTTTCAATTTACATGGGTTGGGTCAGTCCAACAATTTGTGTTTTGATCACACGATTATACAATCTTTGACCTCCTCATGATTCTACATAGAATCTCAATTTTGACTACCATGGACAAGTGTGACCAAACCTGTTGACAGAATTGATGACTGCCTACATATCCATTAGCTACTATTCCCTACATGATTACTTTGGTTCCATAACTACTACAGGTAAAAATTGATTAATCAGCAAAAAGATGCACAAAATCAGGCACAGGAGAAGAAGAGACGTGTAACAAAAGGGGAAATCCTACATAAAGGTAAATGGCAGGATAGGCCAAATTTTAATGCTGAATTGGAAGTTTTGCTCATGAGAGAAGCATAAATAGCTTGTATTTTTTATCATGAGCTCTGATACTGTGTCACTGTCAACAGTAACAAGTAACAGCTCAGCAAGGTTTTTTACCCCAACAGCCTAAATTTAGCCCAAGTAAATAGACATAACAAGTCTGAATGACCAAGTTAAAGCATCAAGTATCATTAGCATAAAAGGTATTACTTTCCCCCGTAACTCATAACAAGTTTGATATGGGCAAAACATTGGGTTCAGCTTGAGATAATCCATAATAGGCCATGTAACTAATCATGAATTCTCTACCAAGAAGGATGATCACCAGCAAGAACATCAACAACTGTCTTTGCTTAGATATTCAGAGTACCCCACTCCTTCAAACCATAACTGAACACATGCTAATATAGGTGAGTTGGGTCAAGACTCGAGATTAACTTTATAACACTCTTCTAACCTTAATTTCTTGCACACCTTGTATTTCACCAACAAGATTCTTTATCCTTAGGCTATTCATTCATTAACAATCTCTTTTGCTACCTTCCTAATATCTTCAGCCATATGTCCCACATATTTGAACCTCATTGGGCTTCGCAACACCATTCCTCCAAAACTCTACATTGAAAGTTCCTATCTTGGCTTTCCTCCTTATTTGCTTTTTAATTCCTACATCTATGACCTAACTTTGTTGGGTAATCAAGCTCTGCCCAGGTATGGCTTCACAATCCATTCATAGTTTTCTGCCTGATTTCCTTATAAATACGAAACCAATTTGAGAGCATCCCAGCCCATTTTTGTGAGTGATAATGATAGAAATTGGACAAGAATATGAATGAAAGAGTATATTATTATTGAAGAACCCCAATCATGATCATGCTCCAATGCGGTGCAACACCAAGAATAGGAAGAATGTACAAAAATAAAATGGATTCACGGAATATTCGAGTGATCCAGGCCTCTCCCAAGTCCCTACTACAGTTCTGAATTCTTTTCCCTCTGGTTTACATCCCAGTTTATAAGTAATTCATAACAAATTCTATTATTATTCTGTTACTAGTTTCCCTCCCCAAATTAATACTAACTAAATACAGATTCTGTTATTCTGTCACTGCATATTAAGGCTTTTGTTACCCTAATTCTTTTCCTCCTACTTTAGACTGTCGTTATTGGAGGATGTCTATCAGATAAGATGCCCAACCCTCTCTTCCTAAACCAAGTGTTAGCTACTATATAGTCATAAACTGAATGAAAAATCCAGGATACGTTTATTTCTCGTAGATGGGAAAGAATTTCTCTTTTGTCCTACGAGAAAAGGAGGTAGCAGAAGTTGTCATTTGATAGTATAATGCAGCTTTATACAAAGGTAGAAGTATCGACTGGACCAAAAAAGACAAGATGACCAGGTCTGGACAGAATGTGACACAAAATTGTGTCATTCACACACCAACGTTGCGTGGTTGGGTAGGCTGGTTGGTCAAGGAGAAATATCTGAATGGTGGAGTCAATCACACTTCAATGGATAAAGGGCTGCAAGCGTGTGAGCTATATTTCACTACCAAAAATGCATAATTGGAGGAAAACACATCCAAGCAGGACCACTGGAAGGAACAAAGAAAAGCAAACAGGGTTTATCACCCCACCCGCATCTCCTAATAAAATGTAGGAAGATAAAGGGATCATAGAGAGAGAATCCATATATGGAAGTGTCTATGATAGCACACCATTAATAAAGCAAGTATATGTTAAAAGAATTAAAAGAGGGGTAGGGGGTCAGAACCCAACTAAATAAATTAGTTAGAGTTGGTTGGTAAAAGATTGTATATAAAAAGAAATATGACAAGATAGAAGGGGCAAGGAGGATGATCATTGTAAGGTTGGGGAGAGTCCAGGGTCTCTCAAATACCCTGTAAACAGTCTGTAACATCTGTCTGTTTCAGATGTCATAGAGATTGGAAAAGCAAAGCAAGCGTTTGATAGTCTCACAAAGCACAGAAAAGGAAAAAGGGGACAAATAAATGAAACAATGCCCAACCCTCTCTTCCTAAACCAAGTGTTAGCTACTATATAGTCATAAACTGAATGAAAAATCCAGGATACGTTTATTTCTCGTAGATGGGAAAGAATTTCTCTTTTGTCCTACGAGAAAAGGAGGTAGCAGAAGTTGTCATTTGATAGTATAATGCAGCTTTATACAAAGGTAGAAGTATCGACTGGACCAAAAAAGACAAGATGACCAGGTCTGGACAGAATGTGACACAAAATTGTGTCATTCACACACCAACGTTGCGTGGTTGGGTAGGCTGGTTGGTCAAGGAGAAATATCTGAATGGTGGAGTCAATCACACTTCAATGGATAAAGGGCTGCAAGCGTGTGAGCTATATTTCACTACCAAAAATGCATAATTGGAGGAAAACACATCCAAGCAGGACCACTGGAAGGAACAAAGAAAAGCAAACAGGGTTTATCACCCCACCCGCATCTCCTAATAAAATGTAGGAAGATAAAGGGATCATAGAGAGAGAATCCATATATGGAAGTGTCTATGATAGCACACCATTAATAAAGCAAGTATATGTTAAAAGAATTAAAAGAGGGGTAGGGGGTCAGAACCCAACTAAATAAATTAATTAGAGTTGGTTGGTAAAAGATTGTATATAAAAAGAAATATGACAAGATAGAAGGGGCAAGGAGGATGATCATTGTAAGGTTGGGGAGAGTCCAGGGTCTCTCAAATACCCTGTAAACAGTCTGTAACATCTGTCTGTTTCAGATGTCATAGAGATTGGAAAAGCAAAGCAAGCGTTTGATAGTCTCACAAAGCACAGAAAAGGAAAAAGGGGACAAATAAATGAAACAATGCCCAACCCTCTCTTCCTAAACCAAGTGTTAGCTACTATATAGTCATAAACTGAATGAAAAATCCAGGATACGTTTATTTCTCGTAGATGGGAAAGAATTTCTCTTTTGTCCTACGAGAAAAGGAGGTAGCAGAAGTTGTCATTTGATAGTATAATGCAGCTTTATACAAAGGTAGAAGTATCGACTGGACCAAAAAAGACAAGATGACCAGGTCTGGACAGAATGTGACACAAAATTGTGTCATTCACACACCAACGTTGCGTGGTTGGGTAGGCTGGTTGGTCAAGGAGAAATATCTGAATGGTGGAGTCAATCACACTTCAATGGATAAAGGGCTGCAAGCGTGTGAGCTATATTTCACTACCAAAAATGCATAATTGGAGGAAAACACATCCAAGCAGGACCACTGGAAGGAACAAAGAAAAGCAAACAGGGTTTATCACCCCACCCGCATCTCCTAATAAAATGTAGGAAGATAAAGGGATCATAGAGAGAGAATCCATATATGGAAGTGTCTATGATAGCACACCATTAATAAAGCAAGTATATGTTAAAAGAATTAAAAGAGGGGTAGGGGGTCAGAACCCAACTAAATAAATTAGTTAGAGTTGGTTGGTAAAAGATTGTATATAAAAAGAAATATGACAAGATAGAAGGGGCAAGGAGGATGATCATTGTAAGGTTGGGGAGAGTCCAGGGTCTCTCAAATACCCTGTAAACAGTCTGTAACATCTGTCTGTTTCAGATGTCATAGAGATTGGAAAAGCAAAGCAAGCGTTTGATAGTCTCACAAAGCACAGAAAAGGAAAAAGGGGACAAATAAATGAAACAATGCCATTTTGAACTTTTTTCAGGACCAAAAGCTAACTCAGGTGTGAAATCAAAAGTCTATCTGAGTTTGACCGACTTCACCTGAGTTTAGATGTGAGTTGGCACAATTACTAAACCTGAACTCGTAAACTTGTTTACGAGTTTACCTTAAAAGTCAACTACATTATTTGTGAAGTAACCTCCCCAATCTCACCCATAACTGAATCATTAAATATCAACTAACATGGATTGCAGGTATTTTTAACATATAAGAAAAGAAACCATTAAGAAAAATTGGGCATACTTAATTCTTCGAGTGACATATATATGGAATCATCCTCAGCAAGTGTCCCCTGAAACAAAAGAATGAAATTATGAGAAAATAAATTATGATTACTAATAAATATCTTAACAGGATAAAGAACCATTTCATTGTAGATTAAAACAACATGGAGCAAGCATCATGTCAGCAAAGGTAATATTAAAATGACAAGTATCAAAATATTACTTGATTTGAAGATAGCATTGATACCGTTCCATTGTGAAGGTTCATTTCATTGTGCACAGAATTTATGTTGCCGGGTACAGAAGAGCAGTTGGGGAAATCTGGCCCAAGCAACTCTGATATCATAAGCCCATATCCATCCTGGACATCATGCATGTCAGCAGCATTTTGAGCATGGTTGGAAAAACCTTCAAGGCCGGGGAACATAGTCTCCGTCCTATTATTTTAAAGACAATATATTAGTAAGAGAGCTGCAAGGTAAATGAAAAACATACTTTCTAAACAAGATCGATTAGGTCCTAACAAACACTAAACTTGAGAGATGGGAAGATAAAGTTTAACAAAACTGATAGAAAACAGGGAGCAAAAGTAGGAAAAGCATACTTTCTATCTATATTGTCCATTGGTTTTTCTTCTTGAATGGAATCATTTTCTAAATCAATTACTTCAATCTCTTTGCCACCTGCTGTATGAGTACTGAATTTGCCCGATACACTAGCATGACTCATGGTCAGATCTATATCAATTGGTACAGCTTTCTTTGTTTCAGAAACAGCAGGAGGAAAAATAAGAACTGGATGATCAACATGGTTCTCATGCACTTCAGATGCTTCAATGAGATTCAAATCACAAGTTCTAAATGAACTGGGCAATGATGGCTTCTCCTCTGAACATTGAAGAAAGGGTCTATCTCCACCTTCTGTGAACTGAGAACTGCTCATTAGGCTGCCCTGATCAGAAGTCAAAGTCACTTTGTCGATATGTGAAATTTCATCTTCACCTGGGCTCTCTTTCACTTCAATTGGTTCACTATGAAGAAAGTAGTCCCCGGTCTTAGGGACAAGGGAAGGCAGCCATTCTCTCAGTCTCTTGTTGTCCTCCCTCACATCATCATCTTCTGCAACACGTTTTTCACCCCGTTCCTCAGCCAAGGAACTGCAACTTCCATATTCCGATAATGCTGCACTAGCCTCTTGGTGCTTGTTATCATGCATATAACCTCCATCCTGACTAGATTGAGATCCAATAGACTGGACTTCCTCAGCTTTACATGCAGTATCTAATTCTTTCACATTCTCAGCAGCATGGATAGGCTCTACCTCGGCAATGTCCGGGTCAAGATGTACTATATCATAAGTTTTATCAACTAGTAAATCACCTGAGGAGGATTCTTTAACCGACTCATTTTCAGCCAAGACTTCAGGTTCTGGAAGATCCCCAATATCACGCGTACTTGCATCTCCATTGCTCCCAAGAACACGAGCCTTCAAATTCTTACGCACAAGCGAAGAGCGCATCCTTGTAGGCAACTTAACAAACTTGCATGACGAAAGCAAATCAATGACAGCCCCACCAGAGCTACTATTGTCCTGATCACTTGACTGAGCAGACAAATTCTTTGATACACTCAATTTCTCATCGTTATCATCATTGCCGTCGCCATCCTTCACCTCCTTAACTCCAGCACTCGCATTGTCCAAATCATTGGAACTCTTGGCAAATTCCATGTCCATGTCACACACATCCTTCCCTGCAGCCCCAAAAGCACTTTGTTTCAAGTCCACCAATTCACCGGACACCCTGTCCGTATCCATCTCGGTGGCATTCAAACCATCACCATCCTCGCTCCTCGGCACAAACTCATTCGAATTCAGCTTCTGCGAAACATCATCAACAACATCACCACTTCCACCAACTTGCTGGTGCTGCAGATCCTCATCTTGCTGTCTAACACTGACACCACCACCACCTCCGTCATCGTCGTCCTTCATCTCCGGCGTACCTCTAAATCGATCTCGATCAGACCACGACCCATTCCTTCTATAATCTCTACCCCAATCCAATCCATTATTCCTACTGAAACTCCCTCTTCTCCTTCCTTTCTGTCCAAACTCATCAAACCCCAATTTCCTCCTCCCAGACGGCCCCCCTTCCACCGCATTCCCGAGGCGCGCGAGCGCCGAGGTGCGGCCGCCCTCTGCCGGAATCTCCCCGGCACCAACGTGCTTCTTGAAACCGCCATTGTGATTGTTCCACTTCAACGAGAGAACGTTGGGCGGCAGCAGCCCCTGCGAGACCAAATACTCAGCGGCGAGGCGGCCGGCTTCGATGAAAATATCACCGCCGCCAACGCCACCACCACCGCCACCTCTACGGCCGAGATGGCCTCTCCCGAAACCGACATCACGGTGTCGATATTCGGAAGGGTAAAACCCTCTGGGACTGCGTTGTCGAGGGTGCATATGCTTTCCTTTTCGATTGATGAAACGAATCGTTTGAATTTCTAAGGCATAGAAGAAACAACGATGGATTAAGGGAAGAAAAGGTTGTTAGAAAGGGATCTAAGGGTTTTGGAGAAGTGGCAGTGAGAGGAGCAAAGTGTAGAATTAGGTGAAGGCGAAGGTGCTGTATGACAAACACAGGATTAGAGCATTGATATGCGTTTGTTGCAGCATAGCATTAATAAATGGGATCAATCAAACTGAATTGAATTGAACTGAAACTGAATTCAATAGAATAGAATACAAAGTCGTCTCGTCTTCTTCATTCCTCTCCACCACTACCCACATGCTCTCCTTTTCTTTCTTCGTTTGGGTTTGCCCAATGCCCTAGTCAATTTTATTGTTCCTGCGTTAATTAGTTACACGCTTTTATATATACCAAACCACGCTTTGTTAATTTTAGGCGTAATCAACCTATAATATGGATTATTTATTTTTTCATATTTTTAAAAACATATTAAATTTTTTTATCACATTCACATTTATTTTGTCTATGTTCAGCAGAAATTTATTTTTTAATTAAGTTTAGTATTTAACATAAATAAAGACAAAATTATGCTACGTGCATCTCATGAATTTCTTTTACTGACCCAACAAAACTCATAAAATTGTATCAATATAGTTACGTTATATGTCATATTTATCTCAACTTACGAAATTAGTTTAAAAAATATATATATAATTCTTAATTATCCAGAATTGTTTAAATTGTTAACAGTCACAATTTTTTTTTTTACATATAGCACATGAAACTCACGAAATAATCAATACAATTTCATACTTTTATTTTTATTCTATACAAAATTTAATTAAAAGATTAAAAAAAATTTATTTCAATAGTAGATGAAACGGGCACTCATATGATAAAAGACTTAAAATATAAAATGTTTTCAAAAAATATTATTTTAAAAATTTATTTTTTTAAATATTAAAAAATATGATTTTCATATCAATTTATTAATTTAATTTTGATCAGTTAATCTTCTTCAAAAAGATATTTGAAATTAAAATATTTAAAATATTTAAATTTAAAACTAAAAATCATATTAAAAAGAATCTTAACTAACGTGATATTTTAAATAATAAATAAAAACAAAAATTTATGAGTTTTAATATGATAATAATACAATTTTTTCAAAATAGAAATATACTTTTTAAAATGAAATTTATTATAAAAAATAAGTAATTGTTGTAAACTTAAAATGAATTATTAAATATCTTTGTATATTAAATTTTTATTTATTTTTAAAGTAATCATCTTATATATAATAAAAGTGATTAAATTGCACATGTTAAACTTTTTTAAAATTTTTTTGGCTTAATTGTATTTTTAGTCTCCTTATTTTTAAGTTTGTTCGATTTTAGATCTAAACTTTTAAATGCACGATTTTAGTCTTCTAATTTTTCTCATTAAGCAAATTTCATATTTCTATCAATTTGACATCAAAATTTTAACTATGTGATTAATGACAAACATGATTCATGTTGACGAATTAAATGATCTTAAATTGAATTGTATACAACAAAAAGATAGAATTAGGGTAAGAACAGGAATTAAAATAAGAAAAAAATAATAATAAAGCAAAAATAGAATAGAAATGAAAGATGGCGCTATAATCGCAAGATTTATAAGTCAAACAAATGATTATCACAAAAATCTTGATCTCTTGAAAAAAATTAAAGACAATTGGCTCACTCAAAAACTTAGAGTTACACACTCTCACAAAAATGTTTAATCTTAAATTGCATTCAAAATTAGTTAAAAGTATGTTTACAAAAGCTTATATATGTTAACTTTTATAAACTAACACAAACACAATCCTAATAGACTTCTTGTGCTAACAAGCCTAAATCCAAATAAACTAAATAAAATAATAAGTTTTTATCCTAAACAAAAACTCAAAGTAAGCAAGGACTAATATTAAAATAAATAAACTAGACATAGTAATTAAATTCTAATGAGACCCATCAGAGTTTAAGTTCTCTAAGCATATGTAATTAACCATCTTTGATTCTTTTAACTCCAAATTGGGTTTACTTTCAAATAAGATGATAAATATCTTCTCTAAGTTTTTCTTTATTCTCTTTGTCTTTACCCTTGCCATTGATTCTTGAAGCTCTTCCAACGTCTTTAAGCCTCTTTTTTTTTTTTGCAATGGACCTTCTTTAATTCTCATCAATAATAACATGGACCTTAACATTGTTAAGGTGTTTAATGGTAAAAAATTATTAGTTATTGAATTATTTTAAATATATTTATTTTATTTTAGTAAAATTACACGTATATAATGTGTTACAAAATTAGGGTTACAAATAGGACCCTTTCATTTGAAACCTAAGTCTAAGAAGACTTCAAACTAAGAAGACTAAGGAATAAATTCATTGAATGAATTAAGAGAATTATCGTGAGACATACATGTAATGAGACTAATGACTTCAATGAAGTAAGAAAGTTGATTTATTTAGAGAGTACACAAGAGACACAGGCATAATCTCAAGTTAAAAATCTAGGCACACAAAAGGAAAGTAGGTAGAAAATCCTTTGAGGCCAAGGATAGAGAGGTGCCAAAAATTACATGTTGAGGTATGTCATTTTTCACTTGCTTCACATGCGTTGGGAAAAGCCATGTATGTAGTCCCAACTCAAATAGTTTAGAATTTTTCAAATTTCGATGGTCTTTAGTGTATAATTTTGAGTAAATAATATGATTTCTATATAGTACCAATTTTAAAATAATTTTTCGTATCGTATTTTATAGGCCAAGTGAACATTGTGTCATTAAACTAAAGATCCATCATGGTGGATTGTTTATAGGTCATCCTTGCTCATCATATGTAGAAGGAAAAGTGGAAGCAACTATTTGAAAATGGAACTTAAATAAAATTTTGTATATTGAGTTGACAAAGGTTAATAAAAATAATTGGGCATTCCCTCTTCAAATGTTTATGGTACAACGATCCAAAATTTGCCCTTAATGATGGTTTGAGATAATTGAATTGAAGATGGTGAAGACTTTGTTGGTAAGTCAAGAGATGAATTGGACAATGATAGCAACAAATCATTGAATAATAGATTTTGATGACATTTGGGATTGGACACACAAGTTTGAAGAGAAACATTTGCAAGTAGAGCTCTTAAGTCATTAAGAAATGTTGATATTAGTGCAACATCTGCAAGTGGAGCTCTTAAGTCATTAAGAAATGTTGATGATTTTGATGACGAAAATGGTGATTCAAAAAACTTAGAAAATCCAAATAATAGTAAAGATGATGGTACAAGGAAAAAAATTCCTTGATTTAAGATGTTTGAATAGAGAAACTTGATTCAATTTGATCGAGATTGGTTAACTTTTACTTCAAATAAGCTAATAAAGATAAGTAAAGAGTATGCTATTGTGCATTAAAAATGTGTACCTAAAGAAAAATGACAAAAAAAAATTTGATGTTGGTGAAGTGTATGGAAGGTTTCGCTTTCTATTTAAGGATTTCATAGTTTATATTTCCTAAATACTTTCAAGTTGTTAGTTTTACTAACACTTATACTTGCCATAGGACCACCAAATAGGCAAGCAAAAACAAGTTTGCTTAGTAAAAAAATTCATATAAGGCATACCACAAATACGAAGATAGATGAGTTGATTGGTGAAATAAAGGAAATGTAGGAGATTAAATTGTCCAAATACCAAGCATACATGGCCAAGAGAAAAGGCATTGACATGATTGAAAAGGTTATATGCGTGCAATATAACAATTTGAGGGTCTATGCAAAAAAGCTAAAGAGAAGTAATCTAAATAGTACCATTAAATGTGAGGATGGAGAGAAATGGCCAATTTTTTAGAGGAATTATATTTGCTTTGAAGCATGTAAGACTGCATTTGCTTCTACATGTATGCTATTAATTGGCTTAGATAGATCTTTGTTAAATGGTGTATATGGTGGACAATTATTATCTTTTGTTGCAATTATTGAATATGAAACTAAAGATTCATGGACTTAGTTTTTGAAGTTGTTGTCAAAAGTTTTGAAGGCTATATAGGACAAAAAAAATATATGTAGTGTTTACATCTTATATGCATTGATATATCTTATGATTTAATTTGTTTATGCAAGTTTTAAATTTCAAATGCATTTAAACATTTTGGTTGAGAAATGGTGTCCTTATTGGGTTCTGGATGAGACATATGTTTTATTTGAAGTATCAAAGGACAATGATAAGTTTGTTGTAAATTTGGCTGAGTGGTTATGCTCCTATAGAAAGTAGACCTTAACTAGAATTCCTTACTATCATGTAGTGGTTTGCATGTGGAATTATAACTATGTGTTGTAACATCTAGATAAAGTTATGAATAAGACGTGATTTAATTTTTTTTTTTAGTTAGATAAATTTTGAAATGGATGATTGCATGATATATTTTGTTCTGGGAAGTTTGCATGGGATATATAAAAAAAATGTAGTACAAAATAATTATATAGTGATGTATTCCAAACCCTAGCTTAGAGGATTTATATTTTAAAGTAATTATAGCATGTATATGTGTTTACGGTGAAAAATGACAACTTTGTAAACAAATAATCCAAGAACAATCTGGGGACTGGATTAGGTCCTCTTTGAGTTCTTTTAGGTGTGTTGTTAACGTAACAGTAAAATTGGCGTTATAAAGTAGAGGACTAAACGGAAATAGCAACTAATAGTCAAACAAAATTTAATCAGAAGTATATGTTTTCACAGAGATGTGGTAAATAGGAACTAAATTGCAGAAAAGAAATAAGCAACAAACTGGAATTAAAATGCAGAAGGGTAAATGTGCAGGAATGTAAACGTACAACTCCTCACAACAGCGAATAATGGTCACCGTGAGTCTCCTTGTAGCTGGTGTCTGGCGCGGTGTCAGGTGCAAAAAGTCGTCCTCTCTAAAATGACGCTTTGGAGTATTTATAAGCAAGAGGACCACCATTGTTCTCCTCCTTTTGCGGGCATTTCTTAGTAACAACCTTCAACTGTTGATGCTCATTATCCACGATTACTTGTGATCGTGATGTTGGTTGGAGCTTCTTTTGTAACCACTATCGCTCACGATCTCCTTTGCCTAGTGGTAAATGTTGATGACTGTTGGTAATCGCTTTTGGGTTTTGCAATGACTTGATTATCAAGACTTTTGTTTTTCTATCTTTTTCGAGTATGTCTGGGAGAAATCTAAGAGACTCATTTAGTGTTATGGTCTTATAATAATTTCTCTTTGACTTCTCTTTTCGACTAATTCTGGGGTTTTGAGAGCTTGTCTTGGTCTCGTGGACTTAGAATGTTTTCTTTGCTCATTCCTGTTTTTTTGAGCAATTTTGGAGGGAC